AGCCTGCACACCGATCCGCGGGCACGGTCACGTGGTGGCGCCCGCTGACAGGCTGCAGACAGGCGCCCACAGGCTCGGCCCTGGAGAGCCTGGCTGGTGTTCGTTCACTTGTCTCCATGCCAAACCTGAGAGCAGGCAAAGCTGAGGGGCATAGTTGCAGGGGACAGCGGGGTCAGTTGTCCCGGGAACCACAGACGCCCGGCAGGGTCTGCAGGCCACGGCCCCCCGGGGCAGGGATCGGAGGTATAGGAACCACCGCTTCTGGTTATAGACATGGGCGCACGGTTCTCTCTGGTGAAATTTTTGCAGAGGGTTTATGCCCTCCGTAAGGGAGCGGTCAGAGAGAGTGACAAAGCCCTTCAGTCTGCCCAGGATAGTCTCTCAGAAACAGAGCGGGAGAGGAGAACCGGTTTGAAGCAAAAAATAGAGGTGAAATTGAAAGCAGTATCTTCCTCATCAAGTTCGGAGACGTCCGACGCGGAGGAAGGGTACAAGCGGGATAGGCGGCATAGGCGCTTAGAACGCAAACACCCGCAGGAGATCAGAGGAGGATCAGAAAAGGAGAAGAAAGAGAATGGCGGTGCTACTGCGCCGGCCACGCTCGGCCCATGGCCTCAGGGCTCTGGAGCCATTACACTAATGGCTCCTCCTGCTGTGAAGCCATCTGCCCCGCCCATGAGTTGTGGTGCCGGCTCCTCCTTCATCGATCCAGCCACACGCCGGGAACTTCAAAATATGTTCCCCGTCTTAGAAGAAGAAAGGGAAAGAGTTTACAGACAGGTAGATGCAGCATTAGTGCGAGAATTGGCCATGTCTGTAAAGCAATATGGTCTTCATGCCAATTACACTTTGTCCCTGTTAGAACGTATGGGGGGAATGAATATGACTCCCTCTGATTGGCAATTTGTGGTGAAGGCTGTTCTCCCTAATATGGGATCATATCTAAATTGGAAGGGATTATGGCAGGAGCTTTTGGATAGATATCCATGGCCAGTATATACCCAAATTTCTACTGCAGCTATAAAGGCATGGAAGGCCCTTTCACTTAAAGGGCAAGAGAAATTGGGCATCACACAGGTTAAACAGGAGCCGGATGAGCCCTTTGCTGATTTTGTGGCACGTGTAATGCAGAAAATGAGTGTCAAATTAGTGACTGGCATCCCTTATAATCCACAAGGTCAGGGGATAATCGAACGTGCTCATCGCTCTATTAAGGAATTGTTACAAAAACAAAAAACCACCTGGGAATCGCTTGGCCTCGCCAGTCAGAGCCCTCGGGCCACCCTAGCCCTGGCTCTCTTCACCATCAATTTTTTACAGCTGGATGAGCAAGGCCTTAGTGCTGCAGATCGTCATTCCCTTAACACGGCGCAAGAGCAATCTTGGGTCAAGTGGAAGGATGTTCTGGAGTCCAAATGGAAGGGCCCAGACCCAGTTATTAGGCAGGCTCGAGGAGCCATTTGTGTGTTTCCACAGGACGCCCCAGTTCCGGTTTGGGTTCCAGCTCGATTGACTCGTTCCTGTCCATCACCGCCTTCTGACGTTTCCTGCAACCGCTGGAGCGCTTGCACGAGGATCTGACTTGGGGAAGATTCATGCAACCCCGCAATCAGAAACTCCTCCTACAATCCCACAGGACAATGGTGCCCCGCCCAGTGCAAACACAGCTGATGGTGCAACTAATGGTCTGTATGGCGCTTGTGAGGACCGTGATTGCTGAGCCACGATGAGGAGTTTTGAGTGTTTTTCCACGACCCTTACCGGTCCGCCCACTCAGCCCGAGTGTTTCCTTGATTTTTTCTTCTTTGGATTTGCCTTTTCTCCCTTATGATGATATTAAGGAGAATGTGAGTAATTTTTTATTCCCCCTACAGGACACGCTTTGTTTTCAAGCATTTCCTGAGAATTTTAGTGTCAAGGTTTATGTGTTACTTCCATTCCTTTTCAAAATGTTTCAACGGCTGCTAATCTTTCTTGCCAGCTTTCTTCTTATCTTTTAGGAAATTGGACGAGAGAATTTGATATTTTACAGTCGGAGTTGAGAATTGCCATTGTCCAGATTAATTCTACACGGGTGGATCCTGTTGTTGCTGAAACCCTGGCCACTTGGATTTGGAACATCACTTCCCATATTAAGGAATGGGTGGGAGTGGTTGTGCTGATTCTGCTCTTGTGTGCAGGCTGTGCCTTATGCCTTTTTTGCCTGTGTCATCTGAGACACCGCGCTCAGCGAGATCGTGTGGCAATACATCAAGCCCTACTAGCCATGCAGTATGGTGACTCCCCCATGGTATGGTTGAGCATGCTTCAACGGGTTTAGTTAAGAGCATGGACATCATGGCTCCTGCACCTCAGGCCATTATGGCATTGCACTGAGTTCGAGCATGATGCACCCGACTAGCCCTTGCACCTCGCAGGACTTATCCATTGCACGCGAGAGGGTAGTCACTCTTATAACTGCCTTGTCGAGACATTGCTCTTTACAACCACCGCGGTTGTAGCCCATGACGGGTAAGATAGACCCAGACAATTATCGGTCTAAGACAGGGACTACGTCAAGCTACGCAGCCTCCCTATGACGGATCGTGCGCCTTGAGTCTACAACCTAAGACAGGCCCATACCAGCTTATTTTTTCTATTGTGTAAGAAGGGGAGAGATGTTGCAAGCCGCATCTGTATGCACTGGCCACATGCTGTGCCTAAAATGGCGCCGGCCGGAGAAGCCACACCTTCGTGCGTGTCACGTAGCCTAGCGCATGCGCAGTGAGCTGCGGCGTGGCCGGCACGTGAACACTGGGGACTGACGAATCCAGTCGCCCAGGACCCTGCGTGATCATGACGCCGACCTATCATCGGCGGAGGCGGGGCCAGTCAGCACATAAGAGCAGAAAGACTGCCGGGGTCCGCCCCCCCTTCCTCTTCCTCATCTTTGTGCGCGCAATAAACTTTACTGCAGAAGGCTTCACTCGCGTCTGCCTCTTACTGCTGGGCGGTAAGACACGTGGGCGCGACAGGGCTGGACCAGCCACTCCGGCAGTGACCAGGGCCTGGGCCCAGCCTCCACGCTCTCCACTGGCCTGGGCCCTCGGAGATGGTGTGTACTGAATCAGCCTACATGGGAGGCCAATGTGTCTGACCCGCAGACTGCCTCGGCTCCTGGGCCAGTGTGTGCAGCCACCCCTTCCCCACACCTGGCCATGACCCCTCAGACTTTGCCTCTTTGTGGCCGCCGTCACAGAACTGCCACAAGTCCACTTCCTGTCTGTGATGGCGCCTGTGTTGGAGTGTCTCAGAAGACGCAGGGGGCAGAGGGCATTTGGCTCGGTGCTGGGGGCCTGCGTTCTGCGTTGCCTGACCAGCTTCCTGCCGATAGGCAGCCTGGAAAGCAGCAGGTACTGCCCCTGGTCTGTGGCACTATGTGGGAAACGCAGCTGGAGCTGCTGGCCCGGACGCGGGGGGGAGCCACGGTGCCCGGATCACTTCAGTGAGAGCCAGTGAGGGTTCCTGGGGTTAGGGTCAGGGCTCCCCCTGCAGGACTCTGGTCCCACCATCAAGTGCAAAGCCATGCACCACCCAGGTCAGCGGACCTTCTTAGACCTGACATATTCCTGGAAACTTCCCGGGGAGAGCGAGCAGCCTGGCATTCCTGAGACCACAGTCTGCATCCTGCATGAGAAGTGCATGCGGCCTCGTGGCCTGGGTCGCTTCCCACTGCCACGCCACACGAAGCCCTCTGAACCAGCGTGCCTGGCTGCCAGTCAGCTTCGAGCCAGTTTCTTTTAATTCTTCACAGAGCCCCCTCAGGCCAGTGTTCACTTCCCATGTTGCACAGCTCAGCAAGGCACGGTGGGCTCGGCATGCCAGCAGCCTGCCCACCACGACACCGACACACTGCAGCCTCATGAGCACAGAGTAGGGCCAGGCTGGCAAGGGAGGCTTGGGGCACCGCCAAAGCTTATAGCCTTGGCCTGAGGATGCCGGAGGGGTTGGGAGGTGGGCTGCCCGCGACTTGCAGGTGGCACAGGGCCAGAGCCACCCCTGGGCCCGGCTGGTGAGGGACAGGCCTCTGCGGGACGCTGGCGGAAGGTCAGCACCTCTGAGAGGGAGAATTCTTAGGCCCATCAGACCAGCTGATGGGAGGAGGCAACACTCTCGTTCAATGGCCCAGAACTGTGCTGCTCCACAGCCAGGCCCAGCTCCCGCCCCCGCAGGAGCATCCCCGAGCCGCACACGTGCACGCTCCAGCCAGATGCAAGTTGTGACACTCAGGTGCCCGTCTGTCCCCCTTGGCTGCTGTGAGGCGGCCCAGGCGGCGAATGGCAGAGTTAGCATGGCCATGTTGTCCTGGTTTGATGTGACCTTGAGTTCGGGGGTGGGGACCCATCTCCAGGGAAAGGCTCTGAGGGCACACCGTGGTTGGCCAACTTAGCCACACTCCTTACAGGGACAGCAGCTGCCCAGCAGTGGGGTCTCCCTTGTGCAGGGCCTCTGGCAGCAGCGGCAGCAATGTCTACTTGCCTGCCTCACCCTTCAGTCATGTAAAATAAATAATCCAGCGTACGAGGGAAACCCAGCTGCCGGCCATACCACACCTCCCTGGCAGCCTGGCCCCTTCCCCATATATATTACATTTGTCTTCATAAATACAGCAAACTGAGGAGGCTGGCCTCAGCTGTCCACATGCCCCTGCCCACACACACCAGGCCCTGGGTGGGCAGTCTCACCCAGGCGCAGCTCAGGGTGGAGCGTCAGCCAGACCCAGACCCGTCCGCCTGGCTCATGGCCTGCCTGATGGGCAGAGGTCTCCCGGGCAGTGTGGTTCCCCCACAGCGCGTGTCATCTACACGAGCCCCCGGAGCACGCCATGGGAGTGCAGTCCTGCTGCTGTGGCTGCTCCAAGGCCCACCAGCAGAGGGGACACTCACACGGGAAGGCACGGCGGAGGCAGTGCAGCTGGCACAGGGGGCTCTGACTGCAGTAGACACGGCCCCCAGGGACCCTCAGAGCTCGTCCCTTGAGGACGCAGTGTCCAGGGAGGTGGGGGGCAGCTGTGCCTCTGTGTTCTTGGCCCTGTCATGGCTGTGCCCTTGCTGCCGGGACTTCCAAGGGTGGGCCCTGTCCCAGTCGGTGGCCACCGTCTCATTGTCCCAGATGGTCGAGGTCTCCGTGTCACTCAGGTAGCCTGGCTGGCCGGTGTAGTGCGTGGGGTGGATGAGCAGGGGCTCAGCAGAGAAGGCCTTCAAGTCTCGGATCTGGTAATGTGCTTTGTACTCGGCCCTGCAAGGGCAGACCCACATGAGGGGGGGCTGGCAGGGTGCCCCCCAACAGCCAGGTCCCCCGGGTGCCTCCAGGAGGCGGGCACGAGTGAACAAGCATGAAGGCCACACACCTCCCATAGCACACGGTGGACACCCTGTAGGGACTTGTCCATGAGACACCCACACGGGGACGGGCAGGGACTGACCAGGGGCTCCCTACTCGGGCTGCTTGTCATACGTGATGGGCGGGAAGTGACCGCAGGGGACACTTACACGGGGTGCTTGTCATACGTGATGGGCGGGAAGTGACCGCAGGGGACACTTACACGGGGTGCTTGTCATACGTGATGGGCGGGAAGTGACCGCAGGGGACACTTACACGGGGTGCTTGTCATACGTGATGGGCGGGAAGTGACCGCAGGGGACACTTACACGGGGTGCTTGTCATACGTGATGGGCGGGAAGTGACCGCAGGGGACACTTACACGGGGTGCTTGTCATACATGATGGGCAGGAACTCGTCCACAGGCAGCATCTTGCCAAACGGCTCGGCCCGCACCAGCTTCTGGGCCCCCTCCAGGGAGATGGCATAACCCAAGGTCCAGTAGGAATAGTCAGCCTCCACCAGGTTGCGCACTGAGGGCACTGCCCGCTCCGGCTCCTTCACCTGCATTCTCTTCCTGCCGATGTAGCTGAAAGGAATGCCGCCACGGACAGCTGGCATCAGGGGTCTCTGGCCTGAGAAACTCCTGGCCCAGCCCCACGGACAGGCTGGAAGCCGGGGCTCTTGGTTTTAGGCAGAGGCGTGCAGGCCAAGCCTGAAGACCTCCAGGGAAGTGGCAAGTCACAGTGGCCAGGGCAGGGTTTTGTGCGAGTCCCAGCTCTGATGCCAAGGGATGGAACCATGGCACTGGCCTCTGGGGCTCTCCGCTGCTGGGTTCCTCTGAGCTCCAAGTGGCTCCAATGGCCCCCGACCCCAGGCCTGGTCCCAGGAGCTGGCCCGTGGGGGCTTGGGCACTCACATGAGTTCCCAGTCCAGCCGGGCCTGCTCGACACCCTCCATGAGCGTCACGAGCCGCCTCTTGAACTGGTGCTCAAAGCGCACGTCATCCTCGATGACCAACACCTTTTCCAGTGCTCGGTCAATCACCTGTGGACACGGAGGGAAGACCATGCAAACCAACCTGCTCCGTCGGGCAAGCAGTGCCTGGGCATGCACGGCCGCTCGGCACTAGAACGCAAACACTGGCCTGTCCAGAGCACAGCTCCACAAGGTCATGGCAGCGAGCACACAGGGTCAGTGTCACAGCCAACCCTGGACGGCAATGCTGGGTACCCCCACCCTTACCTACGATGCCACACACAAGTCTGCACACCACAGATGTACACACATACATACCACACAGATGTACGCATGTGCATGCACACCACGCCAAAATAGCCACGCACCACAAGGCTCCTCGCAGAGGGCAGGGCATGCCAGGCTGCACTGCTGGTCGGGGCAGGGTGCAGCTGCAGGACCGTGTGGTGTTGGGGCATGGCTCCTCGCAGAGGGTAGGGCATGCCAGGCTGCACTGCTGGGCGGGGCAGGGTGCAGCTGCAGGACCGTGTGGTGTTGGGGCATGGCTCCTCGCAGAGGGCAGGGCATGCCAGGCTGCACTGCTGGTCGGGGCAGGGTGCAGCTGCAGGACCGTGTGGTGTTGGGGCATGGCTCCTCGCAGAGGGCAGGGCATGCCAGGCTGCACTGCTGGCTGGGGCAGGGTACAGCTGCGGGACCGTGTTGGGGCAGAGCTCCACATGTCAAGCTGTGCTCAGCTGTGTGTCAGACACAGGCCACCCCTGAGGGAATAGCCATGGTCACGATCTTTCAGTCCAGCAGAGGCCAGGGGTCCTGCCCATGATTGGGGGCCCGAGTGCCAGCTCTGCCTCTCCTGACCACATGGCTGCTGGAGTGAAAGTTCCCCTTCCCGTGTGACCTTTGACTCTCGCATGAGGTTATTCAATGGTGACAATGACATGTGCCGTACAAACAGGGCATCCTGCAATGATGAGACTGCTCAAGGACAGTGGCCTGGGGTGGTGCCAGACCCCTCTGTACTCCTGTGTGGCTGCCCTCGGGCAACCCTCCCTGAGCAGCCACAAGGGGAGGCTCCTGTGGGCTCCCCTGTCTGCCGAGCCATGCTCACCTCGAGCCATGCTCACCTCTTTCCACACCGAGTAGTGGCTGAGGAAGCAGCCGATCTCGCCCCTGGTCAGGGGCCTGGACGAGTAGGGGTCGCGGTACCCGGGCAGCATCTCAATGTGGAGGGCCTTCAGCTGGGTCGTGTTGAGTGCCCTGTGGAATTGGGGTGAGGTGGGGGTGAGCAGGGCGCATCCCCCTAGTGCGAGGGAGGGAAGTGCGTTTGTCCTGAGAGCCTCCACGCACAGGGAACTGTTTCTTGGGCCTCCCAGCTTCTTTCTTTTTAAAAATTGCACTTATGTGAAAGGCAGAGCTTCAACCACTGGTTCACTCCCCAAATGCCCCAGCAGCGGGGACTGAGCCTGCCCTCCTGGGCGTGTAGGAGGACAGGGCCAGGCGTCAGGCCCACTCCACGGGCCGCGTGAGCATCCCAGCCAGCACTGAGTGGTGGTCCCACAGCAGCTCCTCCGACAGACTAATGCTGTACCTGCCCCCGGGGACAAGCGCCCAGCAGCATCGGACACTGGGAGGGGGAGGGGCAGAACACCATGTGCCTGTGGCCCTCCTCTGACCTGGACACAGAGCCTGGACACACAGAGCAGAGATGGCCCACGAGGCCATGGGCGGGGACCGGCAGGTCAGCTCTCCACACCATGGCGTGTGTGTGCACAAGGAGCAGCTGTGCTACCATCAAAAAACATGTAGTTCCCCGACAGAACCCGGCTGGCATCCTTGCACTTCCTGCCACCAGGACAGGTACCTCCTGTGCTGGCCTTGCCGTCCACACATGGCAGGAGCCGGAAACAGGCAACTGCATCCAATGGGAGGAGGCTGTGGAGCGGGCTTCAGATCTGCTCGGCCGAGGAAACTGGCCGGACACTGCACCTGCAACACGTGGTCTAAGGGGCTGACATGGTGCAACAGGCAAGCTGCTGACCGTGACCAGGAGCCTGCATGCACGCAGGTTCTAGTCGCAACGGCTCCACTTCCCATCCCTGCTAATGTGCCTGAAAGGGCAGTGGAGGATGCCCCAAGTGCTTGGAGCCCTGAACCCACTTGAGAGACCCAGCTGGAGTTCTTGGTTCTAGCTTTGCCTGAGCCAGCCCTGGAGTGAACCCGCAGGTAGAAGAGCTCTCCTTGTTTCTCTGACTTCCAAGTAAATAAAATCTTCCAAAAAGCATCCCCCCTTAAATGGCCCAGGAGTCTTCGGGTGCCCCGGAGTGACAGTGATGGAGACACGCCCTCAGCGGCTGGGGGTGACCCCCACTCACTTCCCGTCCACGGCCTCTACGACCTTGACCGCGATGTCCTGCTCCTGCAGTGTGCGCAGCATGCGGCCCCGCCTGTCCTGCCTGCGTTTGAGGTTTATCATGAAGATCTAGCACAGGGAGGAGAGGGGCGAGTGGTTACCGGAAGCTGCCGCAGGCTGTCGGAGGCGTTTAGCAACTCCCTGGGTCGCAGCCGGAGCCACCGAGGGCCAGGAGGGGCCTGCCCACGCTGCTGGCCAGGTGTGTGCACAGGCCTGAGGAGCCAGGCTGTCACCATGTGGCCACCTCGTGACCCACCCACGCCCATCGTGTGTCCCCCGTGTCATTCCTGCCTGAGGAGTCCCCAGAGTTACTCCGTGGGAGGCCAGAGGTAAGTTAACCGCAAACACACAGCAGAGTGGGGAAGCGACAGCCGGGCAGGTGGCTGACTTCATCAGCACACTCGAGTCATGTCCTGGCATCTCCACTTGGCCAGAGGCTCATAACGCCGGGACGAGAGGGGTGTGACAAGTCCCGACTCGGGGCTTTTTTCCAGAGGTTGAGAGCTGAGGCACTGCGGGTGCCACCGAGGTGGCATTGTAGCTGTTCCCTGTGGGCACTCCTAGCTCCTGAGAGAGGTAGGGACAAACGGCCCTGCCCCATGACAAGGAAATTTGGGTAGACCAGTGGCACCGTTCGCACATCCCCTAGCTGCAGGACATGCTGGACAGGACACCTGTGTGTGGCTGTGAGGGACCACAGCAGGTGCACTCTGCCTGTCTTGCCCCACCCGGCCCCTCTGGATGTGCTGCTCGAGCTGTGAGGCCATGACTAAGAACTGCCAGTGAGCACCTCGACTCCTAGACCTGCAGACCGGCTGGGCCCCAGAGGCCTTGCACCTGCGGCCATGACAACTCGCTGTGACTGAGCCCCTCCTCCAAGGTTGGGGGGTGCTGGCAGCCAAGCATGGGGACACACAATGTAGCCAGAGGGGGCAGGTGGCGCTGACTCCGGAGTGTCCAGCAGAGACCCTGGCCTAAGAGGCAACAGCCCATTCCCTCTTGTGCAAAAAGGGGCAGAACAGGTGCCTCTCCCGCGCCAGTGTGATGGATGTTGCACGGCAGGGGTGTCACCCGTGTGCTCTGCGCGGTGGCTGGAGCCAGGAGCCATCCCCCAGTGCCCTCCAGCGTTCAGAGCACGTGGTGCTACACGCGGGGTGACACCTCCCTGGGCGGAATCGGGAGCAGTGCCCCTGTGGACCCGAGGCAGCTCGCAGACTGAAATGCCTCATGGAGTCATAGCCTCACATCCAGACATTTCCAACCCCTGAGGAAAGCTTCCAGGAGCAGGAGTGCGGCAGCCAAGGTTCTCTGGGCCACAGGCAGTGCTGGCGCTCAGTCCCTCACAGCCGTGCCCTGACTGGCCAACAGGCAGTGCTGGCGCTCAGTCCCTCACAGCCATGCCCTGACTGGGCAACAGGCAGTGCTGGCGCTCAGTCCCTCACAGCCGTGCCCTGACTGGGCAACAGGCAGTGCTGGCGCTCAGTCCCTCACAGCCGTGCCCTGACTGGCCAACAGGCAGTGCTGGCGCTCAGTCCCTCACAGCCGTGCCCTGACTGGCCAACAGGCAGTGCTGGTTCTCAGTCCCTCACAGCTGTGCCCTGACTGGGCCGCAGGCAGTGCTGGCGCTCAGTCCCTCACAGCCGTGCCCTGACTGGGCCGCAGGCAGTGCTGGCGCTCAGTCCCTCACAGCCGTGCCCTGACTGGGCCACAGGCAGTGCTGGTGCTCAGTCCCTCACAGCCGTGCCCTGACTGGGCCGCAGGCAGTGCTGGCGCTCAGTCCCTCACAGCCGTGCCCTGACTGGGCCGCAGGCAGTGCTGGCGCTCAGTCCCTCACAGCCGTGCCCTGACTGGCCAACAGGCAGTGCTGAGGGTCCTGTGGTCATACTACACCTGCCGATTTCCTAACTGGAGAACTGTTTCTGTAAGGGTGATTACTTGGTGACTCCCGGCCTCATCATTGGCCATTACCTCAGACAGTGAGTGTGCGACTGAGCGCCACAGTGTGGGGCCACTCCCTCCCAGCCTCACCTCGGGCCCCTGCCTGCCCGCCATGCTGTGGCCTCAGGCCACCTGGGGTCATCAGGGAGACCAGCCAACCCAGAACACAAACACAGACACATCCGTGTTAGCCAGGCCTGCATCTGCAAGCGCTGTGCTACGCCGTGACGGGGCCAGCAGGCCTGGCCCAGCCAGCAGGCCCGGCCCAGCCAGCTGGCACAGCCTGCTGGGTAAGCAGACATGACAGCCAGCGAGCGTGGCCACCCAGGCTCAGGGCCGCAGAGACCCCGGGCCAGCCGCACTGCCTACAGCTGGCGTTTCCCACCAAGCCAAGGGGGCCAGTCTGCCGTGTCCTGCCAGGGTGGGCTTTGCTGGGCCCCCCAGGTCTGTGACTTTAGGCAGAAGGAAATCTGCCATGGACACCGCGACCCCACGCGGAGGGGCGGGAGCGAGGGCCGTGTCCCGAGGAGGCAGCTGGTCGGTGACCCAGGGATCTGAGTAGCCACGAGCTCCTCCCGGAATTTTCCTGAAGACTCTTGGCTCTTCCCAAAACCTGGTCCCAGTTCACCTCACAGAAGGAACCCCGGTTCCCACCGCCTGGGTGCGCCGGGCGTTAAAGGTGTTGTCCTGGGAGGAGCAGCAGCACCGAGCATGGGGCGAGGGCCTGGCCACATTACAACACACCACACTCCACGCCCGTGACACTCCACGCCCGTGACACTCCACGCCCCGTGACACTCCACGCCCGTGACACTCCACACCCCGTGACACTCATGCCACACTCCATGCCACACTCCACGCCCCGAGACAATCCACGCCCCCCGACACTCCAAGCCCCGGGGAGTGTTCTCGCTTAGGCCCTGCTGCCACTGGCACTGCTCCAGGCTCCTGGCCACGGTTCCTGGGGGAGGCAGAGACCAGGCCGCACCTGCCCCGGCGTGCCCGCTGTGTGTGTGACCAGGACAGGCAGCCTTCCCTCTCTACCCCCTCCGAAGCTGCCATGACGCTGCTGCTGGCAGGACCGCATGGGCTTGAACCAGCTTCTGTCTGCCCAGGCCTGGTGCTGCGGCCTGCTGCCCAACCTCGAGGGTGAAAAACAGCGCAGAGAATAAACAAGGTGGGGTCCGGCATGCTCCTCCCCGCTGCTCACACCCTGACCGGAGGCGTCTTACCTCGTCAAACCCCATCTTGTCCGGATATCTAGGGGCGACAGACACGAACTGGGAGGGCTCCATTGGAGGACGGTCAACTAGAAGACCCAAGAAACTCATCAGTCACAGGCCCTGGGGCAGGAGCCCCCTCCCCCACAGCCAAACCTCAGGGTGGGGGCAGCTGCTCCAGCCTTGGGGCTCAAGCCCCCCGGCCCCCAGAGCCGACCCGTTGACGGCCCACGGCCATGCCTGACCCGCTGCAGCGGAGGCCACCTTAAAGCTGGTGTCCCCAGAGCAGCGGACAGCCCCCGAGCAGCTCCACCATAGCACAGGGCGCCAAAGGTGTTGTGTCTGCAGCGCTGGGCCCAATGCCTGCGCTGGTCCGACCCGTTCTAACCTCTTCACTGTCAGAGCCATCCTCCTCAAACACGGAGCTGTCCATCCCTGGTGCCCTCTGGGGGGTGGACAGGCTGCTTCCTGCCAGCGTCACTCTCATGTGTGTACTGCTCTGACTCATGCCTGCTGTTCGCACTCCCCCGAAGATGACTGCTGGTAAAGGGGTTCCCTTCCCTTCACGGGTCCTGCCTCACCCGACCCGAGCCCCACTGTCCATCAGGAAAACAACCATGCTGGCCGGGACACCTGGGCGTGAGGACATGGACACCGGACGGGCCAGCACTGCTGAACGGGGCACAGCTTCCACAGCAAGCAGCCCTTCCACCACGCGTGACCTGCTTCAGTTACTGTCCCTCCCACTCCTGTGTCATACCTGGGCTGCAGTTGAAGCGCAGCCCGCAGGACACCTGCCTCCCCAGGTCCCTCCTCCACTGGCTCCAGGCCGTCCTGGGTGCCAGGCGCCCATCCCCCTGGTCCCCTCCATTGGCTCCCAGGCCGTCCTGGGTGCCAGGTGCCCCCACCACCACCACCCCCGATGATGGCAGCCTCCCCCCCATCTCCTATCAGTATATAAATACGCTGCAACAGTCACCTTAAACTTCAAGCACACAGACCGCCCGGTACACGGCCCCTCACCACAGCCCGTGCCCGTGCCCCAGCCTGTCAAGGTGCCACTCCCCACTCCTGCCCCGCCACTGGCCCCTCCTGGCCCACTTAGCCACCAGGGTCCTGTGGCTACATGGAGGTGGCCCTGGTTGAGGTCACCACAGAATCAACTCTTTGTTCTCATCCTTGGCTCTTGCGAATGCTCCTCCCGCCTTGCTCCTCCTCGCTGCCAGGCCGGCTGCGGCCCGAGGGACCGTCCTCCCTCGCTGTCCTTAGCTGTGTGAGCTCATGCTGCTGGCTTCCCAGGGCCGCCCGGGCCCTCAGATGTCTGCCTCAGACTCCCCACCCCATGGTCTCCCGCCCTTCCCAGCAGATGGCAAATAAACATCTCAAGTTTCACGCCCAAAACTTCCCTCCACAAAGCCTTTCCCATCTCAGTAAGCGGGATACCGGCCGAATCCCAGAGGCACGCCCCGAGCCTGAACAGCATCCCGCTCCCTGCAGGTGCTGGAGCTTTGCTATCAAGCATGGCCTCAGCCCGCGTGCCCCTCGGCCCTCCGCGCTGCAGCTGTGGCCACTGCGGGGGCCACCTTCTGAAGCACGCAGTTGTCACCGAGTGATCCCACAGGTTCCACTGAGTGCGAGCCAAACTCCACGTGGCCCAGGACTTCACCGCCCTGCAGACCTGGGCCAGTCCTGCCCCAAACCCCCGCGTGTCCATGGGTCCTCAGTCCTGCCTTCCACGCGGAATGCTCACCCTCGGCTCTTCACACTGTATCCTCCCCCCGCACGTCGCCTGTGTGGCTCAGAACGCCAGCTCCCAGAGCAGGGCACCAGTGGCATGGCCAGTGGCCACCCTCCCACTGGGCTCCAGACGCAGTGTCCACGGCACTCCCTTCCCTCGGGGAACTCCTGACCAGGCCTGCCTGGGTCACAGCCGGCCCTGGGCCAAGCCTGGGCAGCCTTCAGGCCCCGTTTCCATGCTAAGCTCGGGGCTTTATTTACACTCTTAGTCCACTACGTTCTACTTTCTGAGATCCAGAGGCGCTGGCCTTATGACACCGCAGGTCAGGCTGTCACGGCAGCACCTGCATCCCAGGGAGGAGCTGGCGCCCAGCTGCTCCCTTCCCAGCCAGCTCCTTGCTGTCCACCTGGGAGAGCAGGGGAGGGTGACCCAAGTGCTTGCACCTGCACCTGCACGGGAGACCCGGATGCAGCTCCTGGCTCCTGGCTTCAGCCTGGCCCAGTCCCCGCCGTTGCAGCTGTTTGGAGAATGGCAGCAGAAGCTTGAAGTTCAAGGGTTGTTTATAGCTCTCTCTCTGACTCTGCCTTTCAAATAAATAAAATAAATCTTTGAAAAAAAATGTCCTCAAAATCTGAGGGAAAATAATTTCTAAAATAAAACTGGAATGTGGGATTTTAACAACATTTTAATGAGAGCTCAATGCAGTGGTGCCCCCCCTTAGAGGGCCGTGCGCCGCTCAGTAATCTCCAGGCTGCTCTCAAATGACTTTGTTTTGGAAAAAAAAAAAAAAAAAAACGATTTGAAGAAGCAGAGAGAACACACGCCCAGCTGTGCTGCTCCCCAGAAGCCTGTGGCAGCTGGGAGGAAGCCAGCACCCAGGAACTCCATCCAGGACCCCCACATGGGCTCCAGGCACCCGATTATGAGGGCCACCCTGTGGCCACTTGGGGTTTTCATTAAACTCCAGGGTCTCTAGGCAGCTGGGGCAGGAACTGAACCCGGGTGCTCTGACGGGGACATCTGACCCACCAGGCAAATGCCCGCTCCTCGGATGGCTGTGCCCTGGCCAGACACAGCATGGTCGCCTCTGTGTGCCCCGAGGACTCCTCTATGCAGTGCACTCGGGGCTGACCACTCCCGGGGAGTCAAGGCTGCCCGCCAAGGGCAGCGCCTGGCCACGCCCCGAGCTGCGTGCGGGACCTTCTGCCGTTCTTCCTGGCAACTCTGCTCCGAGCCCTGGGGACCCCAACACCTCCACCCCACCGCTAAGCAGGCTGCTCCCCCACAGCCAAGTGAGGCCACACCATGGCTCTCGTCCCAGCTGCTGCGGCCCGGTGCTGCCGTGTCTGGTCCCATAGGAAAGGGCGGAGGCCGGCCCCTGGGGAGCGCAGTCACTCACTCATGGCTTCTATCTGCACGTGGACAAGGTTGTCGACGTCTTCCTGCAGTGTCTGGTGGGGCTTGAGCGGGATGGGCAGGTAGCCGTAGTGCTCGCGGTTACAGAGGTACATCTGCACACCTGGGGACAAAGCCCACAGTCAGAGAATGCCTGCTGGGTATGCCAGGAAGGTACTGCCCCGGAGCCTGGGAGCCTCGGAGCTCTCAGTTCCAATGGGGGCCGTGGGGGGCGGGCGGCCCGCTCCTCAGGTCAGAGGAAATTGGGTTTCTCTCCCTACGGACAAAGCACACACACAACTTAAAACACATGGGAGTGAGGATCTGTCCTGGGAACAGAACGGAACTGGAGCCTGCCCACAGGAAATAAGCAGATGGGAGGAACGGCGTCCGTTTGATGTGAGCGCAAACAGGAAAAGCCCGCGAGGTCAGCAGATGCTCAGCCAGGCGCACAGAGCCAGCCGCGAACAAAGGAAATGCAAGGCTCTGGGCTGCTCTCCCCTCGGCAGGCCCGGATGGGGAGCCTGCCAACACACACACACACACACGCACACGCATGCACACCCCTTCCAGAATGAGTTCACCAAAGCCCTTCGCAGCCCGCTGCAGAAGCTAAGGCCTGGTCTTCAGGCCGGGTCCCTCTGTTCGCCCGGAGCTAGGACACAGCAGTCAGAGCAGCCCTGAGTCACCAGGGATCACCGTGCCGGAAGTGTGCGCCCACCAAGCTCCGGTCCCGGGCCCAAGCGTCTGAGCCACGACTTCCCAACACACTGGTGTTTTCCCGAGCAGTGCCTGCCTGGGACTGCCCCTCCTGTGCAGCTGGGACCTCAGCCCACTCGGGTGCTGACAGCGGAGGGCAGCAGGGACAGAGCCTTTGTCCCTGCCCTTTACTGACGGCAGCGGGCCTGGCAGTCACCGTGACTCCTGCCGGCACCGAGGGAGCCTCCGGCTCGGCTGGCTGCCCACGGGGCCGTCTGTCAGGGCCACGAGCAACTCAGCAAGTGAAGGAGAAGGCTATGTCAGCCAGGCATCCTTGCCCCTCGTCCAGGCACCCCGTCCACGGAAAGGGCTGTGATATCCAGCCAGCCTGTCCTGCGGGTCATGCCTCACTGCTCCTGCACCGCACACCACACGGAAGGCAGAGGAGGGGCCTGTAAGCGGGCCTTGAGGGCTGAGAAACGGCTCCCACCTGTTGGCAGGGGCACCCTCAGGTCAGAAGGACCTGCAGCAGCATCCCCACCACGGCGCAGGAGAAAACGGAGGAGTCCAAACCTGCTGGGTGGGAGCCAGGCGAAGCCAGGGAGCTCGGGAGCAGAAAACCACAAAACCAAACGCAAAGAGCGGCGGGTGCCAGGGTAGACAACGGAAAACTCGGACGGGGCTGAGCGCCGGGGTGAGGCCCTCACGGCTGCGGCGGACTGAGGATCCCAGGGCCATGTGTCAACAGCTAAGGGTCAGGACGTCCTTGCAGGACCTGCACAGGCCTTTCTGGGGTGCCACGGTCTCCCCTGGAGTAGGGCAGCAGGGCTCACTCTGGCGACAATGGCTGCTCTGCCTCAACGCTGGGTGCTGTCCTACAGGGAAGGCCTTGGGGCCTCCTCAGCCTGGGTGCTCTGGGCCTCCTCAGCCTGGGTGCTCTGGGCCTCCTCAGCCTGGGTGCTCTGGGTCTCCTCAGCCTGGTGCTGTCCTGTGACTGTGATATGGAATGTGGACACTGGTCAACATCAGGGTGCCCCTGCGTGTGAAGGGCATGTGCCCCCTGCTCTCTCATGATTGGAACGTACTATGGGCAGGCACCTGGAACCCCTTACTGCTGTAGGAAGCCTAGGTGCAGAGGCAGCCTGGGAAGGGGCTGGGAGCTGGGTGCCATGCAGCTGCCACAGCAGCTTAGAACTTCCAAGAACAAGCACGCGTCCATTGCTACAGTCTGAGGCCTGGCCGGCGTGGTCCAAGTCTCAGCCAAGGCTTCCTGGCTAACAAAGGGACTCCCACAGCAAAGAGAAGCCACGTGGTGCTGGAGGGAGCCGCTGCCCGCTGTGGGCTCTCTGCACTGCCACCGTCCAGAGCGCCACAACCGCTCACTGGCAGGAGCCTGCCCTCGCTCTGCTGTCCACAGAGAGCCATGCAGAAGGTGCTGGCCTGGTCACTGCAGACAATCTGGTGCCCCTAAGCCACCTAACACGGGGTGATTTCTTTGATTAAACTGCTGACGTCTTTGTCCCAGCGTAGCACCTCTAGCAGTACCTGCTTGCCTGCTGGAGAAGGCAAAGACGATGATGTCATCGAAGGTCCAGGCGTAGTCGGGGTGTGGCGGGTAGAAGGCCAGCTTGCTGGACGCCTCCTTGCGCAGGTCGACGAGGAAGGTGGAATGCACCATGGGCACGGGGAAGCAGCCCGTGCGCTTCCACTCGCGGATCTGCACGTAGTCCGGCGTCCGCTTGTAGAAGCCCTGCGAGGCAGCACACGGGGTTGGGTCTCCGCGGGGTGCTGAACACAAGCCCCAGTGATGCCAACTCACCCCGACCCACACTCTCCGAGGCCTTGGGATGAAGCGGATTCGGACACGCATGGGCTCAAGGCGTGCGGGGCACCTGGCGCTGGCCTGAGTAGCCACAGAGGCTGAGCCCTGAGCAGGTGCGGCAGTGGTTCTGGGGCTGTGGCAGCTGCCACGCACAGCACCATCAGGTCTCAGCTGACTCCTTACTGGCCAGTTCCCACACCTGTTCACTCCTTGGGGCTATCTGCAAGGCAGGCGAGGTAAATCCTGGGAGTGCCCAGAACTGTGCCCTGCACCGAGGAAGCACCGGCCTCCGCTCCCAGGAATGACCTGACACAACGGCCAGTCTAGACTCGCTCGTGCGTCACCAGCGCGTGGGGTCCCCTGCAGCACAGGTGTCCACCCTAGCCCCTTGGGGCTCGCCTGCAGAGACTGCCACCCACGCAAGCGCCAGGACAAGCTGCTCCTGGATGTTGTTTTGAAATTTTGACTTGAAAGACACAGAAATCTTCATTTCTGGGCTCATTCCTCAAATACCACAATAGTTGAGGCCTGAACTCCAAAACTCCACTGGCTTTGAACAACCTGGGCATCAGCCAGCTGTTGTCCCTTCCAGACTCAGGCATTCACTCGACAGACATCTGCTGGGCACTCACAGGAGCTCAGACCTGTCTAAGCCAGGAGGCCTCAGGAACACGGCCCAGGCCTGGCTCTAGCAGCCATCAGCCTGCCGGTCTCACACCCCAGGGCACCGGCCAGGACTACAGCCAGAGCTCAGGTCACTCCAGAGAAGAGCACAAATTATGAGAAACACCGTGGGTGATGGTGGGCTCCCTGGAGTCACGGGCCAGTGTCTGGCGGCACAGCACCTGCCGAGCTGTGTGTCCTCGGGGGTTGCTCTGTGGCCACAGCTGCTGCGGTGGTGCCAGCGCGCACATCCACAGCCCTGCCTGGGTAGGACACTCTGGCTGAGCTTCCTGGTCAGACGGGTCCGGCCTGCACCGCCGGGAAGAGCTGCACGAGGCCTTGGAGCCCATTCTCAGGGCAGTGTCACCATCATCCCCGCCCCTGTCAGCCTGGGACACGGAGCTGCTTGGCCCACTCTGGACTTCTCGCCGTCTGAGCCTTCCTCCTGGGTGGCAGCTGCCAGCGCTTGGGGTGAGCCCAGTGCTCTCCTATGTGACCACCCTGGCACTGGCTGGCCAGCTTTGGGGTGAACTGGCCACAGATATCAATGATTATCAAGACACTTAGATTCTAAGGAAGTCTCAGAAAATCATGGAGGAAGGTCTGTGTTCCCCAGGAGTCATCAGGACAGCCAGAAGTTGCACACTGCTCGGCTAACATGCAGTGTAGGCACTTGATGGCAATCCGGTTTTTGGAAACAGGTGCCTATGGATGGTTTTCTCAGAGCAGTGGAGGGAACATTGTTTTGCTTCTGTTCACTTTTAAATATGTAATAGAAAAATGGGTTTTTCTATGTTATCCTTTTGGAGGAAAAAATGACAAACAATCCCAGGAAGGGGAGAAGGAGGCGGCATTGCAGCACATGCCCCATGGCCTGAGCCCTTCGAGAGAGTTCCACAGCAGCCCGTGGGGGCGGGGTGCTGCTGTGACCCCGCTGGCTCTGTGGAATGCTGGCCCTGGTCACCTCGCCACGGGAGGCCAAGGCGTAGCAGCCACACAGCCTTGGCTCCGGAACCCAGACTTGCCTGTGGTGTCATCCCACACCAGAAGTTGGAGTAGAGGCCCCGGGACTCCAGCATGGGGGCCACAATGGTTCGGTTTTCTGCCATCATCAGACTGAGGGTCTGCGGGTTAGTCAGGAAATTGTCAACATCTATGAACTGGAAAGCAAGAGGAGGACGTGAGGTGGGAGGCAGTGCCCAGGGGCAGGTGGAGGCACGGGACCTGCTCACGGGCGTGGAGACCATTATCCATCTGCCCCAGGGAGCCCGTTGTGGCTGGGTGCCCTTGCCAGTCAGATTCTGCTAATGCGCTCTGCCTGCCACACGGTGGCTCGGCCTAAGGCACAGGCATGGTGGGCAGACTCAGCCAGGACCCACCCACAGCCTGGCTGGTGGTTTCAGCGAGATGCTCATGGCTCCCAAGCTCCCCTGCCCAGCTGCCTCCAGCCCTCCCAGGAACGGCTGCTCGAGGCCACGGCTTCCTGCAGCAACGGCTAGATGACCCCAGGTTGCAGCCCTTGCAAAGCAGCGCACCATGTTCACGCGGACTCACTCACACAGGTAACAGATGCGGGCATCAAAGAGGAATTGCCACACCAAAGTGTATGTTTCAATACGGCTGCGAGGGGTATCACATTAGGTGAACATATGGAAAATAGAATCCAAACATGAGTTCCTTTCATTGTAAAAAAAAATTGTTCAAAATCCATGCAAACAAGCAATCTCCCGAAGTTCCATGAAAAAAGGCATTGAGAAACTACACACAAATTTCAATTTCCTTCATCAAAATAAACATTCTGTAATTTCACTTCCAGACTCTCTGAAGTAGAGAGAATTGCAAAATAAACAGCAGCACTCACGGTGAGGAGGTTGCACGTTAACCAAAACTTGCAGATGGGCACCTGCTGGTCTCTGAACCCACTGAGCCCAGCGCCACGCAAACCACGCCCAGCACCACACGAGCCACGCCCAGCGCCACAGAACCACGCCCAGCGCCACACGAGCCACGCCCAGCGCCACAGAGCCACACCCAGCGCCACACGAGCCACGCCCAGCGCCACACGAGCCACGCCCAGTGCCACACGAGCCACGCCCAGCGCCACACGAGCCACGCCCAGCGCCACAGAGCCACGCCCAGTGCCACACGAGCCACGCCCAGCGCCACAGAGCCACGCCCAGTGCCACACGAGCCACGCCCAGCGCCACACGAGCATTCCTTGGGCACTGAAAAGGCTCACGATTTCCTAGGTCTGTTCCAGGGAAGGGGCCACTCAGCCACCATCCTCCTGGGCCACTCAAAAGCTGTCCCATCAAGTCAGGAGGGGGCCTGAGGTGACCGCCAGGCGTCTCAACACGCATGGTGGCCACACTGCATGGGCTCAGGCGCCCAGGGTGCTGCATCTGGACACATCCTAGGTACCAGCTGTCAAGAAATCAAACATCTGTTTTTACCAGAATGTAGTCTGACCATTTTTCCCTCGCGGTCCGAAGGGCTGCCTGTCGCAGCTTCATGACATGGGCAAACCGGGAGCTGGGCCAGTGCTTTGGTCCAATTTCATCAGGATAGGCCCTGGAAAAACAACGGTGACAAGGAAAGGCTGTAAGCATTGAGTGCGGCCGGGCGCGCCGTGCTCAGCTCCCCTCAGCTCCGGGGGGAGCGCCCGGCCGCCCCCTCAGCACCGCCAGGGGCCACGACACAGAATCTGCTGCTTACAAACACGTGGGTCTTCACGGGGACACTTCCCAGGGGCCCGCGGGGCCCGGGCAGCAGGTCCTGTCCATTACAGAGAACGGCAGAGCTATGGGGCAGCCACGTCAGAGGGACAGGAGCGCAACCGGGACTCAAATCCAAGAAGCTTAGCCCCAAAACCCGTGGTCCTGATCATTTTTTAAAAAGATTTATTTTTTATTTTTATTGGAAAGTCTGCTATACAGAGAGGAGGGGAGACAGAGAGGAAGATCTTCCCTCCGATGATTCACTCTCCAATGTGACTACAAAGCCGCAGCTGTGCCGATCCGAAGCCAGGAGCCAGGAACTTCTTCCAGGTCTCCCACACAGGTGCAGGGTCACAAGGCTTTGGGCCGTCCTCGACTGCTTTCCCAGGCCACAGGCAGGGAGCTGAGTGGGAAACAGGGCTGCTGGGACAGAAACCGGCGCCCATATAGGATCCTGGCGCATGTAAGGCGAGAACTTTAGCCGCTAGGCTACTTTGCCAGGCCCAGTCTTGAACACTTTTTTTAATACATTCTGCCATCTCACAAATTTGGAAATGTCATGAGTGAAAATCCTAGTTTTGCTGGGCGGCGTCTCGGTCAGCGTTCCCACAGAGCCGGCACAGGGATGAGCTCACTGGCCGCGCCGTCCACAGGCACACGGGGCCGGCCAGCAGCAGGGCCCACCCCCGCAGCCCTCCCGAGAGCTCCCAGCTGGCGTGGACACTGTGCTGGCCAGCTCATGCAGCTGCAGCCGAGCGATGAGGCTGTGACCGTGCCCTGGGGGGTGGTCCCTTGCACACAACAGGGGATGTTCTGAAGCAGCTCCCTCAGCCTTCGCCCCGAGAAACCAGTGCAAGTCTTGGTTTTCTGAACCCACTGCCAACAAGTGACGCCCTGTCTCAGCCTTCACTCTGACCTTGGCGTGTAACACATGGACTCAAAATCTGGCTAGAGGGCCCGGCACGGTGGCCTAGTGGCTAAAACCTCACCTTAAACACGCCAGGATCCTATATGGGCACCAGTTCTAACCCTGGCGACCCTGCTTCCCATCCAGCCCCCTACTGTGTCCTGGGAAAGCAGTCGAGGATGGCCCAAAGCCTTAGGACCCTGCACCTGTGTGGGAGACCCACAAGAAGCTCCTGGCTCCTGGCTCAGATTGGCTCAGCACCAGCCATTGAGCTCACTTGGGGAGTGAATCATCAGGCAGAAGATCTTCCTCTCTGTCTCTCTTCCTCTGTAAATCTGAGCTTGCAATAAATATAAACAAATCTTTTTTAAAAAATCTGGCTACAGAGGACATTTCCAGTATGCAAATACATACACAAAGTCATTCTGTGCACACTTAAAAACTAGTCCAAGTTCAGGTACAAGGATCTGCAGTCTCACTTCAGACCTGTTACAATTTCCAGCCTCATTGCTGAGTCACGCTTGAGCCGCGTGGATTTGAGGAACACACACGGATGTCCATGCGCATTCAAAGTTTGGCGAAGACTGAGAGCAGGAGCCGGGTCTGGCACTTCTGATTAGAACGCAGGTCCGCCTGTAGCCATCACTTCCGGGGCCTCGTGCTGCCCGTGCTGCCGTGCTGCCTCCCTGAGGTGGGACTGGCGTAGCTCGGGGGCATTTACGGTGGGAAATTTAAGATACACAGTCCCATTTGTTCATCTGACAAGTGTCAGCGTGGTGTCTGCCAAGATCATAGCACTAAGGGGAAATAGGTGGTGCTTTTTCACAAACTCAAACTCCAGAACTTACACTTTGTTTAGGAAAATGTGTGACCATATGTCAAGTCTGCTGTTTTCCAAAGATGAGGCGGTAAACCAATAACAAAGCGGCAGGGAGAGCTGGCCGGACCCTGGGCTGGCGAAGGCGCGGCGGAGGACGGCTGAGCAGAAAAGCACCTGCCACAGCGCGGGGTCGGCCTTCCTGGGAACCTCTGGACACGGCGGAGTTGGCAGGAAACACGGGTGGGGACGCACGGAGTGTAACCGCGAGCCTCAGGTACCTCGGTCCTGGAGGTACCGGGTGCTTTTATGTAAGAGAATGGAACCGCATTGCTTGGGGATGTGGACAGACTCGACAGCCTGTGGGTCACCAAGAAACTGCCGAGGTTACAGCACCCGTGCCGGGGACTGACACAAGGGCCGAGAGAGGCCAACGCAGGCTTGTTTTAATGCAAAAAGAAACCGAAATCTAAGCATGGCATTTCATGACACACATGACAGTTCTGAAGACACGCTGCATGCTCGCCTTTCACAGTTTTTGCCCTCGGATAAGCTTGTCTTTTCTCGAGTGCCTTGAGAACTTTGTGAGTGCTCCGGTCTGACAGCCCGCGCAGGACAGGCAAGGGCAGTTGACGGGATTGAGAAGCCGGAGCTGCCCGCCGACACACGGAGGCCGGAGCTGCCCCAGGCCCGCTCGCTTACATGGAAGGTAGATTCAGAGATGGGCAGACACAGACCATCGGGAGGCTCACACTCCTGCGGCAGCCAGGGCTGGGTCGGGCCGAAGACAGTCAGCAGGAGCTCGGGTGCTCTGCCACGTGGGCGGCAGGGGCCCAAGGCGGCAACGCCACCTCCCAGGGAGAACCTTAACGAGAAGCTAGAACCAGAAACGGGCAGGTCCCAAGCCCACGCCCTCCACTCTGGGATGTGGGTGCTGTGGGGCGCCTTAAGAACTGCACAAAACATCCATTCTAAACACCAAAGGCCCATTTTCAGGACACGGGTAAGTAATAATATTGATAAGCATGCGCTGCCTGAGTGAGGAGCTGACAGCCGCGGACTGGAGCGGAGAGGCAGCTTGCAATCTGTGAGGGGAGGAAAGGCAGGCTCTGTGGCTCCTTCCAATCCTGGGGAGACCCTGGGGAGATCCCAGACAGACCCTGCAATGCACTGCCTGCCCCCAGGTTTGAGGCCCCGGCTGGAAGAACGCTCAGGAAGCAGTGCCAGTCGGGGTTGGCTGGGTGGGCAGGATCGGCAGTGCCAGCAGGGGTCGGCAGGATCGGCAGAGCCAGCGGGGGTCGGCAGGATCGTCAGTGCCAGCGGGGGTTGGCTGGGTCGGCAGGATCGGCAGTGCCAGCGGGGGTTGGCTGGGTGGGCAGGATCGGCAGTGCCAGCCGGGGTCGGCTGGGAGGGCAGGATCGGCAGAGCCAGCGGGGGTCGGCAGGATCGGCAGTGCCAGCAGGGGTCGGCAGGATCGGCAGAGCCAGCCGGGGTCAGCTGGGAGAACAGGATCGGCAGTGCCAGCCGGGGTCAGCTGGGAGGGCAGGATCGGCAGTGCCAGCGGGGGTCGGCTGGGAGGGCAGGATCGGCAGAGCCAGCAGGGGCCAGCGGGGGTGGGCAGGATCGGCAGTGCCAGCGGGGGTTGGCTGGGTGGGCAGGATCGGCAGTGCCAGCGGGGGTTGGCTGGGTCGGCAGGATCGGCAGAGCCAGCGGGGGTCGGCAGGATCGACAGTGCCAGCGGGGGTCGGCAGGATCGGCAGTGCCAGCGGGGGTTGGCTGGGTGGGCAGGATCGGCAGTGCCAGCGGGGGTTACTCACTCAGGTTCGTCCATGGGCCGCCACTCTATGTAGTGGTAGAAGCCCCGCACGTTGCGCAGCCACTCCCGGAGGATCTCCGTGGTGTTGTCCACATTGTGGTCAGTGGCCACCCTGCGGGAGAGGAGGACGGAGTGGGTCAGGGACGGCTCCTAAAGGAAGGCCACAGACCCCAGGCCAGCAGGGAGCAGAACGCCAGCTCAGGGCAAAGCTGTCGGCACAGAAACTTCCGGAAGCTCAGGGAAAATCAAATTAAGAGGTAAATTTATTTTGGTACAAAAATTAGAAATCCATGCATAATATTTTCATATCATGTATCACTTTTTGAAGACCACTTGTATGTAGATGTTCTAGATATTTCATACCTAAATAAATTCACCTTTTAGTTCAGTTTTATATAAACTGTTCTTGTGAGTTGTTATTCATTGGAACATCACACAGAGAGGCAGGCATGGGACGCAGTGGCTAAGTCGCAGCATGGGACGCAGTGGCTAAGTCGCAGCATGGGACGCAGTGGCTAAGTCGCAGCATGGGACGCAGTGGCTAAGTCTCAGCATGGGACGCGGTGGCTAAGTTGCAGCATGGGACGCGGTGGCTAAGTCGCAGCATGGGACGCGGTGGCTAAGTCGCAGCATGGGACACAGTGGCTAAGTCGCAGCATGGGACGCGGTGGCTAAGTCGCAGCATGGGACGCGGTGGCTAAGTCGCAGCATGGGACGCGGTGGCTAAGTCGCAGCATGGGACGCGGTGGCTAAGTCGCAGCATGGGACGCGGTGGCTAAGTCGCAGCATGGGACATAGTGGCTAAGTCTCAGCATGGGACACAGTGGCTAAGTCGCAGCATGGGACACCAGCACCTCACACCAGAGAAAGGGCCGCATTTGGTCCTAGCTCTTCTGGTACCCCAGTTCCCGCCCAGCCCCATCCACTCTGGGACATGGCAGGTGGCAGTTCACGTCCTTGTGTCCACCACCATGGCCTGGGGAGCAGGACTGAGTTCTGGGTCCTTGGCTTTGGATTTGTCTGGTTCCAGCTGTTATGAGCAGCTGGGGAGTGAACCAGTAGATGGAATATCTTGCTGCCTATCTTTCTATCTCTATGCCTTTCAAATAGAATCTAAATAAATTTTTAAAAAGAGAGAGAGAGAAATCTTTTATCTATTAGTTCGCTCCCTAAACACCGAGTGCTTGAGGCTGAGCCAGGTGAAACCCAGGATCTTGACGCGCCATCACAACTCCCCACTTGGCGGCGGGAGCCAAGCCCTGCGCCATCAACCGCTGCCCCCAGGGTGTGCAGTGGAGCAGCTGGAGCTCAGCTCAGGCACTGCAACGCGGCATGTGGGCGTCCCCAGCTGTGCCTTCACTGCTGTGCCAACCGCCCAGCCAACCCTCCACAGCCTCATCTGTGTGAGCGTGACCCTCTGTGGTCCAGACACTGTCAGTGCTGTGCTCCAGGGGCTCACCCAGGTGTGTGCACGGCACACTCGACGCTAACACACCACACACGCACGAAGCCAAGGACCCCGAGCCTCCCGGGAAATGGCTTCTTGCCTTTAACTTCTGGTGACCCAGCATGTGTACTGCCCCTCTGTCGTCACAACAGTTGCCCTCAGTCATGCCACAGCTTCATTTTAGGTCAGTTTCCAGTGAGTGGGTGAGGATTTAATCACGTGTGAAACAGGACAACAGTCGTCGCATTTCCACAGTGTGAATATGTCCGCGTCCACTCTGCAGGAAACAACTTCACCACCAGCACGTACACCCGAGTGCTTCCAGAAAGCTTGAAATCTTGTCTGCAAAACTTGTTCCAAGAGTAGCAAACAGGGTGACACCGTCACACGACGCTGGGGTGACACCATCACACAGCACTGGGGTGGATGCCCTCACACGACACTGGGGTGACACCGTCACACGGCGCTGGGGTGACACCGTCACACGGCACTGGGGTGACACCGTCACACAGCACTGGGGTGACACCATCATACGGCGCTGGGGTGACACCGTCACACGACACTGGGGTGACACCGTCACACGGCACTGGGGTGACACCGTCACACAGCACTGGGGTGACACCATCACACGGCACTGGGGTGACACTGTCACATGGTGCTGAGGTGACACCGTCACACGGCACTGGGGTGGACGTCATCACACGACGCTGGGGTGACACTGTCACACGACGCTGGGGTGACACTGTCACACGACGCTGGGGTGACACCGTCACACGGCGCTGGGGTGACACCGTCACACAACACTGGGGTGACACCCTCACACGATGCTGGGGTGTGCAGACACTGTCATTGAAGGCTACACACTGAGTTTTGCAGCCTGTACACTACACATCTTTGCATCTGTCTGAAAATAAAAGAAAAAAAACTGTATGAAGAAAAGAATATGTGATGGAGGCTGCAGATACCTGATCTAAGTTGATAATTAACAGGAAGTAGATGAAGTATACTAAAGTAACCACAGGCAGTGAAACAAGAAAGGTTGACACATTCTCACTAGAAATGACCCAGGACACGATAACACAGCCCTCAGCTGGGACCCAGGACATGTTACCACACATCCCTCAGCTGGGACCCAGGACATGTTACCACACAGCCCTCAGCTGGGACCCAGGACACGTGAACACACGTCTCACCTGGGACCCAGGACATGTTACCATACAGCCCTCAGCTGGGACCCAGGACATGTTACCACACAGCCCTCAGAAGAACAAAGAAAACAGGTGACAGGAAGGTGTATCTGCAAGAACATACTCCATTCTCACAGTTAACCACAATTACTGTACAGACAAAGCCTCCAAAAGTTTGAAATCAGTTTTTGATCATGAGGCAACAGAGCTAAGATTGATAGCAAAGTACAAAACAAAATCTCTAGCAGCTTTCTTAGAATGTTATTTTTTAACAACTACGACGGAGCGAAAAAATAAGTGAAGACAGATTCTAAAAGGGATGAAATGTGCAATAGCAGAGGTTCGTTTCCAACGTGGGGGTGTCATTACAGTAGTGATCCAATAAAAAGTCACTGATGAACTAAAGCGAATGAAAATGGAGGCTAAATTTCAACTCAGAAAAGTAGGAAAAATAAGAGTAGAAAATCACGAGACTTGAAATAGAAAAAGTGTTGAATTATAAACTAAGTTGCTGCTTTTTAGAGAAACATCAGAAGGCTCAGTAGTGGCTAACCTACTCAAGAGAACATGCACATGTCAAAATTAAAAGTGGACTAGCCTGAAAAGAAATAATGATTGATTTGAAAAATTTGTTAGACTCACAAGCACCCACATTGCTTATCAGTTGTGCAACCTAGTGAAAAACACACAAGTGTAGACTCCAGATGAAACGAAAGATTTCCCAGAAAAGAAAATGACAGCAAGGATGTAAAACTCAGATGAAAAACCCATGGAAGAAAGAGCAAGGAACAAGCAAGCCACAGGCCCGCTGGAGACTCCCACCCACGCTCTCGGCTGTGTGGCCAGTCCTGTAGAGGGGAAATCCAGCTGCCCAAACGTGCTCTGACCTGCTGCAGCAGCCTCGCTGTGACTGGAGGCCAGTACCTGAGTGACTACACAGCCGGAGCCCTAGAGTTCTCACAGATGGAACCCAAGCATCCTATTAATGGTTCACAATGAACAGACTTAAAGGAAACTCACATGACTACGTCTGTAAATGCTTAAAAGGTCTTCAGTAAAATTCAGAAATTATTTCTGAATGAAATTAAAACATGTATTAAAGCTATCCCAGCTAAAACTGTATGACAATGCAGGGAGAAAATGTGGAGGCTAGCAACCCAGATAGGGAGCCCCTGATGCAGACGGAAGCTCTCTCATTGTGAGATGTTGGCAAGACAGCTAGGGGAGAAAATGCAGATAGATGCACACCTCATACCACTGCTCAAAATAAATCCCCAGGAAATAAGAAATCGGTCAGAACTAGCACTGTGGTGTAGCACGTTAAGCCATGGCCTGTCGTGCCAACATCTGCTATAGGTGTTGATCGTATTCCTGACTGTTCCACTTCCAATCCATCTCCTTGTTGATGTTCCTGGGAAAGCAGCGGGGGACGGCCCAAGTGCTTGGGGCTCTGTACTCGGCAGACCCGGGAGAAGCTCCTGGCTTCAGCCTGCCCCAGCCATCATGCCCATCAAGCAGTGACCCAGAGAATGGAAAATCTCTGTGTGTGTGTCTCTGCCTTTTAAATTAAATTAATTCATCAACAACAAAGAAATATAATTTTACCAAAAAAAAGGGGGGGCATAGTGTGGGAAGCTGAGGGGTTCCTAAGGGTGAGATAGAACATCCCGAAAGTGCCAGCGTCTGGCAGAACACACTGTGGGAAAGGCCCCAGCGGGACGGAGAGTGGTGTGACCCACGTGGAGGAAGCCTTCAGACACAATCCCGAATGGCCGCAGACCACCTAGGAAAGCAGGCAAGGTCAGGGGCCCGGAATTCCCCAGGGAAGACAGTGAACACGGCTCCCGACACAGGTGCTCACACCTGTTACTATGGCAATGACCTTCACCTACCATCCCCTAGCTTGGCGATGCCTCCTTTTGGTCAGGCTCCACAGGAACAGTGCATCTGCACCCTGCTGACACAAGCCCTCACCCGCTGTGGTGAGGGAATCAGCCATGACCCAGCAGCACGGCAGGAACTTAACCCTTCACCCCTAAGGAAGCCTCCAGTTCGCCCCAGGGTGGACTGGGCCAGCTCAGCCGGGAAGCTGACCGGGAGGAGCCAGCAGTCACACCCTCTGCAGAACAGTGTGAGGCTGGCAGACTGGGAAAGCAGAGGGGACTTGCTAGGATTGAACTGCAGAAAAAGAGCTTTGTTTATTTCAGAGTTGCAGATAAAGGAGAGACAGACAGAGAGAGAGAGATCTTCCCTCTGCTGGCTCACTCCCCAAATGGCCGCACCGGCCAAGGCGGACTTGAGCTAAAGCCAGGAGCTTCTTCCTGGCCTCCAATGGGAGTGCTAATAATTTACATATTGAAAAGATAAAAATGTAACCCAACTAGGGCAGAGTTGAATACAAAGGAAAACCAACAAGACTGGTTATAAAGCCATATTCTAGAACGGAAACACAATAAACACAAACAGAGCACTCCAACG